CTCGCGTCACAGTGGGTCGTTCAGCGATCCACCTATTTTTTCGCAGTTTTCTCCATCTCTATTACATATTTAACAATAAATCTGGGGGCTATTTTAATTATTTACAAAAAACAACTGTGTTTATCTTAAAATAACATTGTTAGTTAATAAATTTATTAATTTAAAATATCATGAAAATTATCAATCCTCCAAGTCAAATATTAAAATAATAAAAACACAATTTTCCTTGAATGGTAAAATGCAACCACATTCTTTTTGATAAGTATCTGGAAGTTTGTCACACCAAATTATAATTTCAAATGTCTTCTTCATTTTAAGATATTTTCATTTCCAAATAATAAAAACATAAATGATAAAATGCAACCATATTCTTTTTGATAAGAATCTGGAAAATTGGAACACCAAATTCCTTCTGGATGATTTTTTATTACAATTCCAAGTGTCTTCTAAATTTTAAGAAAATTTTCATTTGCAATTTCATTTAATGATTTTACATCATAATTCAAATAAATTTCATTCTTATTATCCATTTTAGTACATGAAGAATTTTCGTCATTTTGTGTACTTTTTTAGAAGATTCTTCCCTTTTCAGTGTATGTTGATAAATATTTTTTGACATTCTAAATTTTTGGGATCTTCAAAAAATTATCTTCTCGGTCATTTTTCGAATTTGTCACACTACATTTGTATGTATCATCCAGTGATCCAGTATGTTTCTATTTACCTTTTGATGAACGCACTGATATTTCTGCTTGATCGTATAAGCTTATGCAAATTTTGATAAATTTGTTACTCACTCCCAAATACAACAGCTTCTCCCACAGTAACTTATGCTTAATGGAAGGGAAAGCATTTCGAAATTCAGATTGAAATTCTAGTAACAATTTATTGTTATCCGTCCATATAGTCAATCTTTGATTCAAGATTTGTGTGAATAGTTTAGTAATGCAGTTTACTATCAAGATGCAACAAAAATTGTCAGGATTATTTTTTTCGCTCTTTTTTAAAAAAAAACATAGAATCAAGTTCAAACTATCTGGCTCAATTTAATTGGAAATCGGAATGTAATAGTCAACGAGTTTACGGAAAAGAAGTAAAAAATACTCATGATATTGTTCTAAACTTATAGAGGTTGAAAAGTGAAGTTTGGGTCTAAAAATGCTTTAGAATCTTGATAGTTATTAATTGAATCTTAAAGGGTTTCTACAATTTTTTTCTTTTTCTAATAACAACTTTTTAAAAGTTTTAGCTCGTTCCCGGTCATTTTCCCGAATGTCCGAGGAATTCCTGAATCTGAAGCAGTTCCAGAAGATAATTCTTAGGTTGGTATGGTCTTCAGTGAGCTTGGCCGTTGTTAGATCCCCTTTTATCTACATTTCACGTAATTAAAGGAAGGTTTTCGTTTCTACTTTTCTTGTACGATAAATAATTATTTGTTATGAGTCATTGTATTGTTTCTTTATCTGGTCGATTTAGATGTGGTTTGGACAAACTTCTCCAAGGAGCCAGATAACTTAGACTTTAGAGTGCTTTCTATAGGATGCCCTAGCTTCTTTGATTTAATAGTTTTTGCAGATCCTGCGAAGTTTTTAACTGATTGCGGTGTAGAATACGTCTCGCCTAAAATCTCTTCTATTTCTGAATGTGATAATTTTTTTATCATTTTTGAAGAAATATGCACCTCTCATTTGAGGATCTTTACCTTGACTTCTGAGTAGATATCTTGCTTTGAAAAGAGGATTTTTGGCTTCTCTTTCCTCTAATAAAATATCATTTAACACTGCAAAGCCGAGTATCTTGAATTCATTACACAGAAAAAAGTCTTAAATCTGAGTAGGACTACTTTTAATATCAGTCTTAATTTTAGTCTGTAAAAGTATTCTAGTCTTATAATCAACTTAAAAAAATTTTAAAGACACTTTAATCTTAATGCAATACATTTTTCTGACTTAATTTTATATGTAAGTCTTGAATCTATAGTCTTACATATACTTGTAAAATAAAAAAAATAAAATATGGACTAAATTTTTCAAGGAAAGTTAGGCTTAATTAAAGCAAAACATTTATCCGAAAACAATAAGATTTTCTTGTAACTTGTTTCTTGAAAATTCAGTGAAACGAAATGATTTGAGGAATAAAATATTTACAAAAAATTCATGAGAAAGTTACGTAGGTTAACTTTTTGTTCAGAAAAAATAAAATTAACCTGAAATTTTTTACTTTCTGTAAATATGCAACGAAATTGAATTTAAATCTAAAAAGTTTGATTAAGTTCCATGGAAAAAAGTTTTAAAACAATTTAATTGTTTGAAGGCGATAACTTTTATATATTTTTATAATTCATGTATATTTGTAAAAAAAATTGAGGAATAAAATTAAAAGCTTATACGATTAAAAAGTGTGTAGTATTACAATTATTATATTAAGATAATGTAAAAAAATGTTACCAAACTTCTTAGCAGTAAATATCTAATAAAAAGTATAATGCACATTTTTTCTATACACTTTCTTTATAAAATATAAATAATTTTGGCATATCGATATAATTTTTTACCTCAGTGATTCAAAAATCACATTTTTAAAAAATGACAATCCGTTTGTTTGTGTATGTGAAAACATTATACATTTTCATGAATATCTCTAGACTATGAAGAGCTTTAGGGATGAATTTATTTTTAAATTTTAGGTCTCACGTGCTGACATAAAATAAAAGTTCTTTGAGCCAGAAAAGAAAAGTCTCATAACCAACTTGTAGAGCATTAAAAAACCCTTCGATTGTCCTATTTTTGAATTACGAAATTTTTTTTATTTTAAAAACCAAAAATTCTGAAAAACACTATTTTCTTAATTTTTTTGTCAAAAACTTTTCTTTAACTATTAAATTATTATAATCATCTTGTAGAGTATATAAAAATACTCTTATTTGTTCCAGATTTAATCATCATTTGTCATTTAAACCTCAACAAATGTTTTTGTTCTATTATTAACGACTAAAGAATAAAAATATTCTACATTTATGTGGCATAATTTTGTTTTGAGAGGAAAACATATTGCGACTATTTTTTATAGAGTCGCGTGTAATCGTCCTGATACTCGTGGACGGTAGTGTATAAGAAATAATTATATCTTTGTTGAAAATTGTATTATTTTTTATATTATTACTCGTCTTATATAGTGTAGCTTTCCAGTCTTACATGTATGTTTAATTAAATGCAAAAATGTGCAACTATTGGATTTTGAAGCTTAAGAGTAGTACTAAATGAAACAATTTCGTAAAATGAAAAAAAAATTTGGCAAGTGTAAGGTCTACTTTGAACTCAAATGCAGGTACTTAATGCAAGTACTTAATGCAGGTTTCATGAGTTGTAAAGTAAGTTATAATTAAAATACATTTAATCACATATTTGACTTAAAAAGTAGCATAAATTTCTTTAACTTTGTAGTGCTTCTATTAAACTTTCGAAAGATGAATATAATTATTTTTTTAAATGTAAGGTTAAGAATAAAAAAATAAAAGTTTACAAGACTTATCACTATTATTGAATTTAGATCCTACTTTATAATTTTCTTTGCAAGAATGGAAAATTTGTGCCTATTTTTGAAGTCGAAGTGGGGAACATGATTTTCTATTTTGTAAAAAAGTTTAAAATATACTAAAGAATAGCAGACATTTCCAAAATTAGAGTAAGCTAAACTTTTATTAAAGTAAAATAGTTTAAAATAATTTTAATCTAGCATTACTCTGTAGGAAGATATATACTACTTAGAAGAATAAAAAAGGATCTAAATTTTAATTCAAGTTCTGTTATTATCAAAGCATGTACTGGATATGACACAGGCGTACGTAAATGCAGAGAAGTTGTGAACTTAATGTGAGGCTTTTTATTCTAAGGCAGATAGCCCGTAGCAATTTTGGTCTCTTTATTCGTTGTTTTATATGCATCCTAGTTCACTGCACCAGCATAAATTATAGTTACAACTGGGACAAGAAAGATAATTACAATGACACTTAACAATATCTTAAAGGAGTTCCAGTTTCCCCAACTCGACGAATAAGTCAATTAGTTTCAAGTTGTCATTTGTTATTGTTCTTTTGAACAAAGGGCAAAATCAAAAATCTATTCAAAGAAATTTGATATTGTTAAAGTAAATTTTTCTGTACACTTTATCTTTCAAAAGTATTAACTTTTTACACACAAAATTACACACTTTATTTTTGGCAGATTGAAAATAATATTCTCAAAAATCTTTCGCATGCGAGATTCAATTTCGTCTACAATATTTTTTGAATGATCCATCTCGAGCGGGAACTCGAGATACAAAGTCTTAGTTGACATGCTAGTTTTAAAATGAAATAATATGTGTACCTTATATTTTAATTTTCTTTTTTACGTACTTTAAAAGTATGAATAATTATAAACTGATTTAAAATTCATAATTAACATAATAAAATTCGAAGTAAATGAATTTTTAATTTAAATTTTCGTACTTTTACAATAGATAACTTTGTTTAAAATTTTTTTTTTAAATAAAATGAATTCATTTGGAAATAATATAATATTATATTTTAAATGTAAGGTGGTAAATAAAGTAATAATTACATATTTATTCAAATAAAAATGTAAACTCTTAGTCGATTCAATCAAAAAATTAGTTATAATGTCACATGTAGCGGACACTATGTAGTCAGGCACTGCCAACTACAACTATCTTAAAATCTTAATGTAAATAAGAATTTTACAAATTTTAACTAATAATTGTATATAAAATGGGAGTTAAATTTAATTCGTTGAACTTAGAAGAACCTGAGAACCTTCAAATAAAGATTTAAAACTCATATGTAAAACTGTTACTGCATTGTGTTCTTTATGTAAAAATAAATTGTATTTCCCGCTGTATAAGGCACTTTTAACCCTAAGCTTAAAAAGTTTATGTAAAAATTAAATAGAACAATTACAATATTAGATACTTCTGTTAATTTCACGGTCAATAACACTCACCTACACAGAGCATAAGAGCGGCGAGAAGAATTGGTAGCAAAAGGCTCTTTGATATGTTCGCGAAAGCCATTTTTATTTCTTTTTGCTTTTTCGAGAATACACTTCTTATGTTTTTAAACAAACACGTATATTCCTTAAATTTTTTGGACAGTAAATTTTTTTTGAACTAATCAATTACGGAACTACAAATTTTAAAAACTGTTTAGAAATTTCAATGAAATTTTCACTAGGAGAAATTCAAATTTACTTTTCTCTAATTGTTCTTAAAGAAGAGTTTTTAACAAAATTTGAGTTTGATCTGCAAATAACATTTAGGCTTCATACACTTTATAATCCACTTTTTCACTTGCCGGTATTTATACAGCACCAAGTTATACACTCCGAAAGTTCATATTACAGTGTTTCCATTAAGTTTCTTTTACCAACAATATGATTTGCAGTTACTGAAATAATTAATTTCAGTTTTCTGCATTTATTAGACAAAATTTTCTTGCAAATACAGATTGAAATTATAAAAACTTTTTTCACGTTTTTAACAATTTATTTTCAGAAACAATTAATTTTTGCTCGGTTTCTGTTGCTTTTGACCAAATAAAATATTTAAATACTTTTTCCCCCTTTTTGCGGTGTACTTGGCGACTTTGTATTTGTAAATTTTTTTTTCGTACTTCAACACGATGAAGGAAATAGTCACAAAACTAATCTTTTATAGGATGGGTGTTATGTCCTACCACGTACGTCTGGTGCCGCGTCGCCGTTGAACTGACTTGTAGGCGTATAAGTACAACTTGCGACGTCGCGCCAAACCAGCTGCGCCCGCGCTTTCGCAGAGAACATTATTCTTTTGTCGGGAATAATTTATTAACTATATATGTGACCTGGTCTAAGAAAAAAGGGGGCTTAGGTGTCAAAAATCATTTTTCACTTTTTTGCCCATTATTATAAAATTTGAGACGATCTTTCACATTATGAAAATCAGAAAATCGCAAGTTGTTTTTCAAAGTTTACTGAAAGTGAGAAGCAAGAAGAACCATGAAAGATTGGTACATGCTTGTTACGAAATGTTGCTGCAAGTGTGTCGCTCGTTTGTTACAAGCTGCAGTAAGCTTGCTGCAATTTTTTAAAAATGTTTTTTAAATTAAAAAAAAATTATTTTTAGTTTTTTATTTTTTTGATCTGAAGATCTTTCTGACATCCACTATTATTACTTATGCCTTTCTTGTTTCATTTTGGAACTTAACATTGATAAGAAATTTTTGAAAAAAATTCGAGGGAATTGTGAATTGAACCCAAGTTCGACGGACGCTAACCAAAGACCCTAACCGACATGCTAAACAACTAACACACTCTAACAGGGAATCTGACAGGATCTTTCATCACAGGGTTTCTTCTGAGTTGAAGTGAATATTAAACAAAATTATCTCAGAGGAGATTCCGCTGGGAAAAGTTAACAAGGGAAAATTTAACCTTTGAAACACGACATTTTTAATGCAAATAATTTACTTATTACTTATCGTCACAATATTCTTTCAATCGTCTCACCAGTCCTTAGATAGGATTAACAACAAATATTTAACAAATATGTACACTTCTCGATTTATTATTATTTATTCAATTAAACTCTCATTTATTCTATCAAAATTCAACTCTCCACAACCCATGTCAACATTTCTCGATACAAAATCAAACTATATATTTTCCCATGTGCCTTTATCATCTGCTATAAAGGCGCGCTATATACTTTCAAAAATTAAACCATAAAGGAAAGTTTCCATTTTTCCAAGTCGAAGAATTTCCCGCTTAATTTGAAATTACAATAGAAAAATAAAAGGGAAATAAAATTTATGATCTAATAATGCTAATAAAGAATATCAAAATTAAATGACTAAAACCACTTTGTCACAATATCCCCTTAACAAGAATGGACATACAACTGTATGTCAACATTCATATAAATCCAAAAATAAAAATAATACTGGAACTTTATAGAATTATATAAATGTTCAAAATAAAAAAAAATACTATCATTGTTCGAATAACTAAAAAAATTATAATTGTTCAAATAACTCAATTATCGCTCCAACTCCAATTGTCTTTCCTTGATCAGTTGTTGAATTGCCAAGTCGATCGTCACATTAGGTAAACCTTTCATGGCAGTTGTCAATTCCTGGATTGCTCTCACTATTTGTGTTGTCTGCTCCCTGGTCGATTCATATGGAGGTGGTAAATCATATTTGTCTTCACTGGGCGATTCAGACTTCTCCACACAATCCTTGACCAATTCAAAATTATCTGATCCTTCTACAACCTTAATCGCCTCCTTCTCCTTAAATTGATCTTTGGATGTAAATAAAATTGGACGTCTTGCTACAGGTGGTGATGGTGTTTTAGGAACATTCCATGCCCTTTCGTTGTTACCATAACCATCCATATTAATGCCTAAATTGACTTCAGTTTCCCACATCATACGTAGCAAAAGGTTTCCATGTCGTCAATGGGGAATCTCTCCACTTCTTCAATCTCCTCGTCTCTTTTTAACAAAGTTGTTTTTTTGTTTAATTTACCTTTTACCACACTACAGTGCTTTCCAGCCACTGCTCCCTGGCCAGTATGGTGGTTCATGGCCCACCAATTGGCCTTCGTCGCTATCATTAAAGTGAGGGCGGAACGCACTGCATCAGTTGTGGCACATTCCTGGGGTGCTGAAGGGAACTCCTAGAGAACACCGACGAATCTCCAGTCACCCTCTGGGGTGACACCATCAGCTCGGGTTCGCATGAGGCCTGCACAGACCGCAGCAATTGCACATGATGCAGCAAGTCTCCTGTCGGAATCCGATCGGTCTCGGTGGACATCATGTGCCCAAGCTGCAGCATAACCAGCAACAACATCAAGGGGCTGGTTCCGAATGATCGGGAGTTTCTTGGCTTCTTCAAGAGCCGGACAAAGTTGTTTCTTTGCTTAATTTACATTTGGATTGTTTTAATAGAAAATTTCTATATCCTCTGGCGCAACGGGGGCATGTGGCTGCGGTCTTAAATTTCCTTCCGCAGTTTTCACAGTCACACATCTCATTATAACATTGCTTGGGAGACATGGAAATGTGAAATGTTCGTTTTTTGTAATTTCTTTAGTCTATTTGTCAGAGTCATTTTGATATTCGTTATATGTCGCTTAAACGAATTTTCATATTTGTTAAAATGTCGGTTCGACGAATTATATTTTTTATGCTCGGAATAAATATTTACGCTTATGGTGTTGGTGGAACATTCAAACAGCAGTCCGATTCAGCTGTAATGCAAGTCAAAGACATCCGTTCTACATCTAATATTATAAATATGTATGGAAATTTATCTGACTCAAAAATTTATGTTTTCGAAATATCTGAAACTGAGATGAAAAATAATTATGCTCTTATTCCTAAAAATCTTTGTACTATTCCTAACATCAGAAAAATTCATCAAATCATTTGGACAAATCAGGAAGATGACGAGCTGTATTTGGGAAACTTGACGTGTAGCGAATGTATTTATTTTCCTTCTTGTAAGCATTTTAGTTTGAATCCTAATTTCTGTAAGTATGACAAAGAAATTCGAAATAATGACTCGAATGTGGTTATTTTAATAGTATTATATATAAGAAATCATACTACTCTCGGATCTTTTGCACTTATGGGACCAAATCCTCTCATACCTTTTACCAAAACAAATGCCACGGTAACGCAAAACAATAAAATATGTATAACCAAATATGCAAAATAATGACAGTATTTAGGTTTTAGTTTTAATATTTACATTAATAATAATTAAAACTTTAATATAATTTTAATCACATAATGGAGGAGCTGTTATAATTTACTTTAGATAACCAAAGTTATCGTGAAATAAATGTTTTGACACTCTGATAGTCATTTATTTATTTAATGTAAAAGGTAAAAGGTGCGGGAGAAAAATTGCAAATGACACGATAGTGTAAAAGAACTGAATGCAAAAGATCCGAGAGTCGAGTGTAATTTGTTTTATTTATGATTATAAAATTTTTATATTAGAATATAAAAATTCGTATTAATTGTTTCACACATTGCATGAATTATCTCGAAGAAAATAAACTTTTAAGAAACGTAATACGTACATTATATTATTAAAGCATAACTTATTTTACAATATTACAAACTTTATAAGTTGAAAGGGATGATATCTTTTTACAAAAGATATGTTTTCCAGTTTCAGATGGCTGAAATGAGTGGTACTGACGGGTGTTTGGTATGGTGATAACTTTAGAGTATCGAGACTCTAAAGTTTTTTCTTCTCTCTCATAGTCTTGATGAGTACAAAAGTCGAATGATATTTTCTTGAAAAACCCTTTTGCTCACGTATAGAAATTTTTAGGCGTTGTAATTTGGCCGTTGTCAGGTCTTTGTAAACTTGTTGGGCCAAAATAAGTGAAACCGGCCACTTAAAAAATGTTTGTCTCCAATTTTCAAGTTATCTATGATTTTTGGTAGATATATGAGAAAAACGGGGTCAAAGTAACAAAATATGCCATTTTTGGCACTTTTTCAACCTCTATAAAAAAAGAACACGACGTGATAAAAAGTTCTAATGTGGCTTAAATGAGAGCTCAAACCCTCAACTTTAACATCCAAAAGCAAAAAACCATGCAGAAATAACTCAAAATTGTTTGGAAGCGATCATATAGGGTAAATTGGTGAAAAGTTGTTACCCACAATTTTGAATTATTTCTACATGGTCTTTTGCTTTTGGATGTTAAAATTAAGGGTTTGAGCTCTAATTGAAGCCATATTTAAACTTTTTATCACGTCGCGTTCTTTTCTTATTGTGCTTTAAAAAGTGCCAAAAATGTCATTTTTTGGCACTTTGACCCAGTTTTTCTTAAATTTGAGACGTGATGGGACAATTTCACTTACAGATTTGTAATCTACGTCAAAAATCCTGTAAGAAATTTGACATATAAGGTTAATTTTCGAATTTGTATGTTTTTACTTTATATTCTGAATAAGCACGTTCTTGCCTCTTTTCTGAATAGGTATGTTCTTGCCTTCTTTGCCGAATAAGTATACGATACTGCGCTAACACGACGATACATCACTCCAATTGCCATTAACTAATTTTATATTTTTATATATGCACTTATGATTTTTTTATTGCAAGGATAACAGCACACGTTCAGTCCCGACATTTTAAAATCAACATAAACCGATCTAAAAAACAAACAACGATCTACAATATTTTTTCTTGAAAATGTATTTAAAAATGATAAATATTAAAACTTTTTATACCTGTACTAATAACTGTTTCTAAAGAATAGTTTACATTTGGAATTATTATTAAAAATGTTTAAATCCAATCTAAATTTTAACTCTAGTTATTTGTATTTTTGGCTAACAAGGAAAATACACATAATGTAAATATTAATGTAATTAAAATGAAAATTTATTACAGTATATAAATAGGTAATAATTTAAAATTTAGAACTGTATTTAAAAAAAAAAATTAAAAATGTTCAGTTGAATAAAAACTTCTTTATATGAATATTCTGCTTACACTTACAAATAAATAAATTGGTTCGTAGTGAAAAATATTTAAAAAAACAAATAAAAAGTAAATTAAAACAACAAAGAAATACTTAGAAAAAAATATTATTTCAAAAAATTAGATTAAATTTTTTAATAACATAAAATACATCAGAATAATTATAATATCGAATCATTTCGTAATTGTTGAAAAC